GCGGTCGTCCTGAAATGTCCACGTAGTACACTTGCCTCCCCCTCTCCCCACCCTCAAGATCCTTGACTGTTCCTTTGAATTTCTTGGTTTGGGGTCCCGTTCTTTAAATGGTTAGGGGAAGTTAAGACCCTTTTCCCTAAAGAAACACTGGTTAGGGCTGATCTCTCAATAAGTGTTTGTTTCATACTGCTACTCAGAGGCCGAGAGACCTGGTTTCAATTGCAGTTCACTATTGCATAGATAAAACACCCAATCTGCCTTTACTGCTGGAGCTGCCAAAGAGAGCAGTAGTATTCAAATCAAAGGGCACTTCTGTTGAGCTACTACTGTGTCCAATGCATTGGGCTAAGGGTGACAGTGGAGAAAATAACACAATACATTTTTGAAAAGAAAGAAAAAAAGTACATTTCCAGTGAGAATTTTCCACATTAGCTGTGATAGAGACTACTACACTTCTGGACGCCAACAGTATTTAACTTAGGGAATTTAATTTCCTGTTGACCATTCTGTTGCGATTCTGGTCTTTGAAAGTCTACTTGAAACATTTGCTTTTGAATGAATGATAAACCTTGGCTCTATGTTAGAATCCAGGCCACCGTGTCCAGAATTTCTGGGTTGAGTACTCAGATCCCTAAGAAATTGTGACTGCCAGCCAAGATATGTTAAAGGATTCTAATTGATTCGTGGAGAAAACTCCCTTAGAAAGTTTTATCTGTGACAGTGATAGGGTTCTGTATAAGAAGTCTGCCCACCTAGCTTTGTAGAATTGACGTTTCTTGGATGTAACAATTTGTCATTCTTAAGAGACATTATTTCTTCAAAGATAGACCATTATATACGTTAATTTGGGGTAGCTTTTTTTTTTTTGCTTGATATTTTTTGTTTTTCAGCAGTGGGCAATGTCTGGATTATGAGGAGGTTATCTTCCTCACCCAAAGTTATTAAGGTTCTAGGAATTACATACTAAGACAACCGTTTTTAACGACTAGGTTACCAGTGAATTAAGATGAATTGACTACAGACTTGCTTAGGATATGGCCTGATATCCAATTACTTTTTTTGTCCATTAATTTTGGAGGAGGGGTAATTAGATTATTTATTTATTTATTTTAAATTTGTTTTTCATGGAGGTACTGGGGATTGAACCCAAGACCTTGTGCTTGCTAAGCATGCGCTCTACCACTGAGCTATGTCTTCCTTCTCTCCAGTTACTTTTTAACACCTATGGTGATGTGTGTTTTTATAGGCAATGAATCTGTAGATTACATGTATTTGTTGAATAATTCTTAAATAATAGAAATTCCAACATAAATCTACAGATTTGTGAAAATACAAATGTTTTTGATGAGGCAGATAGCATAAAATTATTTCGGACTAGAAACAAAACAAGTTAGAATTAGTGGTGATATCAACTGTTAGAATATGGAATGAGAGCCCCTCCTTATTTTAATATTGTAAATACTCAAAAGTGAAGGAGGAGATTTTTAAGGGTAATGAATAAAGAGATCCCCAACTGGGAGAAATTCATTTCTCCCACTGAAGAGATAGTTCTGCTTGTTTTATTACTATTATCTCCCTGTAAGAAAATAGCTCAGATATTGTATAAAGGCAGCCCACAAGAATAGAGATTGATTTTCCTAGGAGATAATTAGATGGTATCAGGTAAAGAACCTTGAACTTGAGTTGAATGGATTTGAGTCTTTAGCCTCTTACTAGTTATGTAAACTTGAGTGAGCACTTAATGTGCTCTTTAAAGCTCTATTTCTTGCCTATAAACTGGAATAATAATGGTTGTTAAGGTATGATATTATTAAGCACGAAAGCTCTAACATGAAATTATAATTGGAAATGAAATGGAGAGGCAGAAAATGTTTGAGTCTTGCTCACTCCCAATTGGCTGCCATTACTTTGGGCAGATTAATTGGGAACAGCCAGCTGCTGATTCCTTTCTTTTTAGCTTATTAGACATGACATTACCTCTATTAAGTTCTGGACGCGTATTTGCTCAGGGCATTTACAACCCTCTGCAAAAATGGGTGAGGTTGGAAAAATGGAAGAGTGCAGGAATCTCTCACTGGGGACCTGAAATCTAGGTTAATTTAGGATATTTGAAGTTTGTTAGAAAGCACTGCACAGTCTGGTCATGACCTCTTTATAATACTACAGGAGGCAAAGTTCCTTAACAAGAGCATCAGAAGAGGATCAGAATCCTTTATAGCTACTGCTTTTTGTTTTATGAGCTTCTGAGATGGGACGCCCCATAAAAAAGACCAGCAGGACCCCCAGGCAGGGACACTACTCTCCTACCAGCACCATCCGGTTCCCTGGCCCAGAGGCTCTATCTCACTTTTTGCCTCTGAGACAGCTTACTTCTAGGAAAGTGGAACTTACCCCTAAAATTCTACTGGTTCCCTGAGCTCACTCCTGATTGGTTCTTTCTTTCACTCCTGATTGGTCCATTTCCCTAACTTCTGATTTGTCATTTCTCTCCGTCCTGATCCATTTCTACAC